GTGAGGAGCGGCAACCACTGGATGGTCCGGCTTAGAGGGAGACGCGATGGAGGAGCTGAAAATAACACGTGGTGGGGAGAGGGGGGCCCTTCTTCCTCTCCCACTGCACTTGAACCCGGGGTCACCCCATGAAGCGGATGGATGGGTGGTTCAGGCCAGATACAGGGTTTCAAGTGCCTCTTCACACTGCACATAGCGCATTCGCTGTGATGGGAAGTGGCGATGCCACCAGCCTGGATGGCTCTGAAGGGGACTGGACTGATTCCCGAGGGAGGAGGCTATCAGTGGCCACTGGCCTTGCTGGCCACGGGCTTCCTCAGTCACCAGAGCTGGCCTGCCTAAACACCCCAGTTGCTGAGGGGCTCAGGCAGGAGGAGGCCTTGCGCCCGCCCTGCCTGGGGATCCTGCGGGCAACTGGCTTGCCTCTGTGCGCATGGAGCGCAAGACTGCACAGGCCTCTGGTCTGACCCAGCACGGCTGAAGTTCTTGTGCCCAAAATCCCTGACTGTATTTTGCAAGCTGCCCGTTCTCGGCATGTCTGTCAACGTTTGCCTGAGACCGTCCACCGTTGGACAACCTCTGTCATCTGCAGGATGTAAAACGCCCTCCGCCCGTCGCCACAATCCCCTTCTGAGCCTGGGGCGCATATCTGTCCAGTCAACATTTATCTGCTAGGCTCCCAGTTAAAAGACAATGACTATTACGAATCCACATCCAAAGCACTTGAACATCTATTTTAAACTGAGTGAAATGGACGGTGGTTTCGCCGTGTTGCGGTTTGGCTCTTTGGGGATGCTGCAGCATTCGCAGCAGTAACGGCACCTGTGGCTGCACTTGGCCTCGGTTTGTGACTGGCTTGCGTGGCCATCCCCGTGCGCTCGCCAGCTTTTCCACACCCGGACACGCAAGCGGCACGGGCTTTCGTCACCGTCCTCTGGCCGGCCACCGTCCTCCACGGCTGCCTCCTGGCCACTGCACTTGCAGTAGTTCGGTGAGGGCACGATTAGATATTCCTTTCAAGTCACTCCTTGTGTTTCCATTTTACGCCTTTATTAATTTAACCCCACCCCATTTTTAAAGCCCCTTGATGAATAAAGATGAAAGCCCAGAGAGCTATTTGATCACAGCCACCCCCCTTCTCTGCCATCAGAAGCTTTTAAGGAAAGATCAAGGCCTCTCCGAAGCGCCTGCGCCTGCGGAGCAGCGCGAAGGGCTGCCTTGCGTCTCGCTGGAGCCCGAAGCGCAGGAAACCTCTTGCTTGCCCCGCGGGAAAGCGCGATGGAGACTTCAGGACCCTGGACACCGAAGAGCCGGCGGGAGAGGCAGCCGGCCAGCAGAAGGGCCACCCACGGGACCACCGTATTTCTTAGAATGCATGGGGGGCGAGCTCAGCCTGAAGACCACCCGGAGATCTCGACTGAGCACACCACCAGCTGGTGATTTTCTGGGGAGGTCAGGGCAGTGGGTAGCTCGGGGCAGGAGGGCAAAGTTCCAGAAGCTGCACTGACTCACCCGGTGGCTTTCTAGACAAATTGGGGAGGGGATATGTAAGTGACCGGTCTTGCTTTTGTTCTTGTGCCACTTCCAATGAGACCACGCGCTTGGAGTGTCCATGACAGGGCAGGATTTCAGGTCAAATAATCAGTCATGCCTGGCTGCTGAAAACTGGACCAGACACAAGCCCCCGAGATGGAAGGAGGCCCCGCCGTGTGGCTGCCCGACGCTTTCTGCTCCGTGCCCGGCTGTTCTTTGGCACTTGCTGTCCTGAGCGTGGTTTCATGGACACCAAAACCACTCTACGCTATTTTCTGCCACGGAGGAGATCGCCCAGCCCGTCTCCCTTGGTGCGCAGAGCGTGGATGGGACATGCTCCCTCTGAGACTTATCAGCCCGGCAGCAAAGAGGCCCTGGAAACAGGTGAGGGGTGCAGAGAAGTGTGAGGGGGTCACCCAGCCCTCGGCTCAGCTTCTCGGGAGACCCCAAAACATCCTGGGCTCTGAGCGACAACCGCTGGGCACAGTGTCCGGGGCATTGGCTCTTCCCCAGGCGGCCCTCGCAAAAGGCTCTGCGTCCAGCTGCCACTTGCCTTGTGCATTCAAGGCAGTAGGCCTTTGGTGGCACCAGCCCCAGGGCCTCCCTCCTGCGGCGCTGCCCCACGTGCCTCTTGTCTAGGGAGACACCGGAGTGAGCGCTCAGCGTGCCTGGAAGCGCTGATCCGGATGCTTCCCTCCTGCGTGGCCATCCTGCCTCTTCCGGGCAACAGGTCACAACACACACCCAGGGCTGCCCTCTCGCCATTTGCGTGGCTTCCCTCCACCCAGGCGTGCCTTCCTCTTCCTGCCCCCAACCCTTCTGGCCAAGTTGCACAATCTGGGCTCCTCAGCTGGTCCTGCCCCACATTTGGGGGGCCAGGCTTTGACAGAGGGTTTCACTCTTGCGAAAGAGCTCTCCGCACCGTTCGTGTTCCAGACGGAGTCCATCAGGAGGACTGGGCATCTCTGGGGGCAATCGGCCCCCCGGCCACCCGCACGCCCAGCGGCTCGGCTGCCATGGCAGGCCTTGGGGGCCCAAGGGGCACACGGTCCGGCCCTCGGGGGAGCCCTCCGCCGACGCGGCCTCCCACCCCGGGAACACGATCTTCTGCCCGGGGGCCGGGCACGTGCGCCTTTCTGGGGGCGAGCGGCGAGCCCCCCCCCCGGCCAAGCCTGCCGCCCCGCGCGCCCCCCCGCCGTTCTCACGAGCAGCCGCCACGCGAGGGCCGCGCTCTCGCTCCGCCCGAGGAGCCGGCGGCGGCCCGCTCCGCCCGCGCCGCCCGGGCCCAGCGGCGCCGCGTTCAC